AGTTTCCTGGCCCCACTAGATGCCCTTAGCAGCCCCCCCATTCCCCCCGCCACCACTGTCACATTCCCAATGGCCCCTGGGCAGCAAACTCAATCCTGGTGGAGAACCACTGATCTAAGGTGAAGATGTCCAGGTCTGGCATTTGTGTGAACATTTACCAGTGTCACCGGGAGCTGAGAATGGTTTGTCACACGTTGTGTCTGGGGGCTGGTTGGTTTGTATCAGCATGTCATCCATCTGACTGCCTTCCTCCCATGTGAGGTTGGCTCTCCCCCGAGATGTCGGGTTCTGGGCCATCTTGTGATCATTGTGATCTTTTGCTGGGGCCCTCACTGGCGATCTTTGACCTGAATGCCACGCAACAAGGAAGCTAATGGACAGCTTTGTCAATGAGCTGTAGGACTTTGGACATGTCTCTTGTCTGCTCTGGGCCTGATTCTCCCCCTGCAGAATTACTGGGTTTGGCTCAATCACCATTCCCTATGGGGTAGTCCATGAAAGCTGACCATGGAAGAGCCTTTGTGGGGAAGAAAGGTGGTGAGACCAAACTGGTTTGGGAAATGCTATATCCTGCAACATCTGCTTGGAGATTCATAATGTGCATAAGCGTGTGAGAGGCTTTCTAGAATTCTCTGCACCCAGATCTCCATGTGGCTCACTCCCCACTTTTCTCCAATGTTACTTCCCAAGAGACTTTTCCAATCACCCAAACAGGCCACGCTCTAGTGCCTCATCTTTCTTCACACAGCTTCTCATTTCCTGACATTATAGCTTATGTATTTATTTCTTTGTTCATCGTCTGTCCCCCTCAACCCAGAACATAGCCTTGGTGTCAGCAGGGACTTGGTCCATTTGTTTGCAGCTGATACCTAGCATGTGGCACATAGTAGATGCTCAGTAAAAATGTTTCACTTGTGGATTTCCAAATGAATTTAATCAGGGACTTTTCCACTTCCACTCATCAAAGTCTAGGGAAGCAAGCTTGGGAATCAACAAGGGAGAGGGTCTCTAAGTCCTGATAGCCATGGCCTCCTGACATTCACTTTCTTAGTATGAGCCACTCAGTTCTAAAGGTACCGAAGAGCTGGTATCAGGCCAGAGAGCAAATAAAATGGACTGACTTGCCCACTCTCCATGATAGGAGTTGCTGTCTTGGGAACTGAGGAAGAGAGAAACCTTTTGCCTCAATGATCTGCTCGTGGCTCCCCTTCGTCAGGACTCTAACCAGTCTGAGAAAAGTGAGAGTAAAAATCGGGGATAGGTGGAAAGGGTACGTGCACCCCGATGTTTATAGCAGCAATGTCCACAATAGCCAAACTGTGGAAAGAGCCAAGATGTCCATCGACAGATGAATGGAT